TCTGTACTACTGTTGAGACAAAGCCAAGAACAAAATTAACACTATGGTATCTAAAAATGGAAACTTTTCAGGAACTGTGGGAAGAAATCTAGTTTGAAGTAGAGTGTGTGGGCAGTAGATGTGTCAATGAATGAGTTGGAATATTACACATCTTCCGTCTGCGTGAGCTTCTTACTATTTTGCCCATTTATGTTCTCGTGTTCCTCTTTCTAACAGGAAGTGTCAAGGTGAACAGATATGTGGAATTGCAGACTGTCACGTTCACAAAGGTAGCTTTCACTATCGATTTTAGACACAAATGCACCATAGAAATCTAATCTGTAAAGGGCGAGGCATTTCTAATCGATGTGGGTTCCAAATTCCATTACAACCTGATCTAATTAGATTAGATCTTATCATGTGCCCTGCATGATATCACCAATTCAATAATAATGCAACTCTTATCTTTATGCAGGAATCTACCCTTCAACACAATAGTTTCAGCTCTAATTTGGTGACGAATTTATGTCACTAACATAAATCATTTATTGTGAACTTTCTAAACATAGTCCACGTGCAAACCACTCAAAATAACACTTGTAATCCCTTTGTCAAGTCTGTGATGAGTCTATGTGATGCAAGGTGTGATTTTCTATGTTATGATGATCTATTTTCGACTTAGGATCTTGAACTCGTGACATGTGGGCTTTGGACTGTGTACAATAAAGGGCTTTATGATTGACTTGTCAGTTTTGGTTTCTGGAGCCAATGTTCTCTTTTTTTGGATCAGTATGAGAGAAAGGGCTCCTGAAGTGATAATAGGAATTTGTATTGAGAGGAATTTATCATCGGAGAAGGTGAACATTGAAAATTATTAGCAAGTTTTTGGTTCAGAAGAATCAGGACATTTTTCTTGCTTGGGGACAAACCTATAGATTGAATGGTTATTTTACAGCCCACTGAAACTCAGTTGCGTGACTGGTTGTGGAAAAGATCATCAAGTTGTCAAGACTAGGACCTGACAGAATGTTCGACTAAACTGTTATATAGATGTCTCTCTCCATGGATGCGGTCTGTCCCGCTGTGATCACCAGTATTGGTTGCTTTCAGTACACATCGCAGCATCTGCAGTAATTTGCTCGTAATAGAGAAGGGAATGCTCTTGAGCTCTCATTGAAATTATGGTGTTGAATCCATGTTACCATGTATCTTTTACATGGTTATATGTAAATATCTTGGGGTTTTTTTTGTTTTATCTTCATTTCTTTTGTGTAATAAATCTGTCTTTTATTATTTAAAGCTTTGATGTGGAGGTGCCGGTGTTGGATTGGGGTGGACAAGGGCAGAACTCACACGACGCCAGGTTATAGTCCAACAAGTTTATTTGTAGACACAAGCTTTCGGAGCCTCACTCCTCATCTGAAAAAGGACTGAGGCTCTGAAAGTTTGTGTTTTCAAAGAAACCTGTTGGACTATAACCTGGTATCGAGTGAGTTCTGCACTTATTTAAAGCTTTGCATGTTTATGTTAATAAAAGAAAATTTCTACAAAACCAGTTTTCATCTGGGATCTGACTCGTCCAGAAATAACATCAGCTGGATCGTAACACCGAGAGTGATATAGATCACGAGTGCAACTTTACAGCAGTATTGTTTTTCTCCAGTTTTGAGCCACTTCAATTGAAATGATTTATCTACAGCATGAGCGTTACTGCAAATCATGCTGTGCTGTCAGCTCAGAAATATTTGGAGCTCTTGTACATTTGTTTTAGACTTTTCACCTGCCAGCTTTACTCAACTACAGAGCTTTGCAAAACTTGAATCCTCTCACCTGGTGAAAATTTCAACCAGATGAAGGGAGAGACCAGTGATGTGGCCTATTTAAGTTATCCAAAAGGTTTCCACAAGAAATTAGGAAACATAAGTAGAGCAGCATGGGGATGAGATGGCAACATGCCAGGAGGAATAAATGGGTCCTTTTCGGGTTGGCTAGCTCTTACCAAAGAGGTATTGATCATGGAATCAACTTTAGCGATTTACAATCTTATATCAATGATTTGGATGTAGGGATTAAGTACAATATTCATGCTTGTGGATGACATACGATGAAATGGTTGTGGATAGGACACAAAAACACTTTGATGAGGTTGAGATGCCTATTGAGTGGATTGTCCTTTTGTATGCATAACTGAAAATTAACATGCAGATACAGCAAGTAGTTAAGGATAAGAGCATGTTGGCTTAAATTCTAACAAAGATGTCTTACTGTAATTCTAGAGCTTCAGTCAGACAATACTTGGAGCATGGCATGCAGTTTATGGTCATACAGCACGGAAACAAGACTCTTCGGTTCCAACCAGTCCGTGCCAAACATAATCTCAAACTAAACTAGTCCCGCTGCCTGCTTCTGGCCCATACCCCTCCAAACATTTCCTATTTGTGTATCTATCCAAATGTCTTTTAAATTGTACCCGCATCCACCACTTCCTGAGGAAGTTCATTCCACTCTCGAACCTCGCTCTGTGTAAAAAATTTGCCTCTTCATATCTTTTTTAAAGGTCTCTCCTGTCACCTTAAAAACATGGCCTCTAGTCTTGAAATCTCCCATCCTAGGGAAAAGACAACTACCATTAACTCTATCTATACTGCACATTATTTTATAAACTTCTATCAGGTCATCTCTCAACTTCCTATGCTCAGTGAAAAAAGGTGTCAGCCTATCCAGCCTTTTTTATAACTCAATCCTTCTACACCTAGCAACAATCTGATAAATCCCATCCAAACCCTCTCCAGTTGATAATATCCTTCCTACAACTGGGTGACCAGAACTGGACACAGTATTCTAGAAGAAGCGTCACCAATGTACTGCCCAACTCCTATACTCAAAAGGATTGAGAAATGAAGACAAGTGTATCAAATACCTCTTTAACGACTCTGTCTATACATGACGCAAACTTCAAAGAATTATGTTCTCGCACCTCCAGGTCCCTCTGTTCTACAACACTACCCAAGGCCCTACCATAAATTATGCCCTACCCTTTCCTGTTGTACCAAAATTCAATGCTTCGCATTTATCCACATTGAACTTCATCTGCCATTTTTCAGCACATTGACCCATTTGATCGAGAACTGTAATCTTAGAAAACATTCTTCTCTGTCCACTATGCCACCAATTTTGATGTCGTCCATAAACTTACTAACCATGCCTTTTATATTCTGGTTCTGGTCTCCGTAACCAATGAAAGATATACATGCCATAGTTCAGAGAAGCTTTGTTACAAGTTTAATTCCTGAGATGGAGGCTTTCCTTATGAAAAAAGAATAAATAGACTGGGCTATATTCTTTGAGAGGATGAGATTAACTCGTTCAAGTAAGGGGCTCCCTGATTTACAAACGTATGACTTGCAAATGTTCGTGGTCTCAATTGGACACAATACTCTAGTTAGATCTTAACCAGAGCTTTACAAAGGTTCAGCGTAAATTCTCAGCATTTGTACTCAATACGAAGTCTGAGACACAATGATCTGCCAGACAGCCTGTGCTGTGTTGCGGTCATTTAGTCTCATCCTATTTGCTACTCCAAATTTGGCGTCAGCAAATTTTGAAAATGTCATAAATCCCAGAAATCTAAGTTCACAACCTCTATTCACTACATACTGCCAAGATATAACTGAATTTCAAAGTTCAGCAGCAAATTCCACATCTGTCGTGGTTGAGGCTGAATTCACAGCATTGGGCAAAGTCTGAATAATCTTCTAATTGCCATAGATGGGCGCTTCCCAAACCTTCTCCCATACTGATGCCATATGAGACTTTACATGTTGTCACAACCCCTCAGTGAGAACACAGAGCAAGTGCCAGAATAAGAGCACATCTGATGTAGAGCAAACCACTATTGCTTTGGATCTCACAGCTCGAAAACATTAGCCCGTGACTCCCACTTGGGAGATGAACTAAATGCAGCATTACTGTAGGCAAAGACAAAGACAAATTGAGCATCGCGAGCAGAACTGCAGAATCAAAAGATGACAGTTACAGAGTTAACATCACCTTTTAGGACAGATTTTAAGATCAGGAGAAATTTTTTTTAAAAATCCCTGCTTTGTGGACAAAGTACAAATGAAACAATTTGTCCTTCTACCTTGCATAGGCCTGACAAACTTCTCAAAGTTTCTGCCTCGAGTGACACTTGCCTGTCCATTTTCAGTTTTAAGTCACCATTTCCAAAATTGAGTTATTTTCAGTGGCTATAGATTATATCATGCAGCACCACAGGAAACTGTTCCAATAAACAACTTTCACATACTACACTGGTGTATCCTACACATGCACTCAATTCGATTAAGAAAGAAATGCCTTTACTTACGCACACTATAGTTCTAATTGTCCTTAAAACTGATAAATGTGGCAAATGGGTATAATTGAGCATAAATGAGCCATTTTCCTCACTGGCCTAATTTGTGCGCATACCACTCAATTGCACCATATTGAACCCATGAATAAAATAAGCTGGACTCATTATTTGGAACTGCACATATTGTAGTTGATACAGACGTGACTCGATGGAAGAAAAATATGAAGATGCTGCATCAGAATAATTAAATGAAGTTAACTCTTACAATCTTTGAGACAACAACAGGATGCTTAGCAGCAGTCAGGTACGCCACTGGATAAACATAGGAGAGTAGAGCTCATTCAACAGAAAAGGGTAGCTGTACATGCTATCAAAATTCTCAAAGGAACAAAAAGGCATCAGGAATGATTAGATAGTGAGATATTTGGAGGTGAAAAAGCTCAATTTTACAGGGTTGAACCAACTTGAATTCCTGATAAAGTATGGCCTTTATTTCAGTCACCCAGTCATTTCAAGTTCAGGCAACCACTTCTTATTGGAAGAGATCAGAACACTAACCATTATTGATGAGTCAATTACTTAGCAGGAAAACACTACTTAACTGCTTCTAAACATCGCCAAAAAAAATCACTGCAAACTTTTGAAAGGACACACTGTGAAGACATGATTTTTAAAAAATGGTTTTATGAATTGTTTTATTGTATAAAACACACTTGCGTAATCTAATTCTTGACAAACTGCTGTATTTTCTAGTTATATTTTCATACAGCTTTATATCTAAACCATAGGACATACAAACAGGTCTTTCAGATTATATTGAACACTAAAGTCATCTCCTAAAACTCTTCCCATTTTATTTTAACTACTCTTTTAAAAAAAATATGCCAAGTATCCCCAGGTTTCTCCTGTCCAAATTACAGTACGACAGTAGGGAGGAAGAGGGTAGATTCAAAACTGGACTTTATGCCGTTTTTTGTTGTCCCTTCTTCCCAATCAGAGACTTGTGGATGTGAGGAATCACACCTGCAAGAGAAAACAAAACAAACAAGGTATAAATTCACAGGTTAGAATAGCCACCCTGTCTCAGGCAAGATGTTATTCCTTTCCTGCTTGATAATTCTGGGAGCTGGGACAGTTCCCAACATATGGAAAAGATCAACATGCAGCAATTAAAATTGAACATTATTTTTCAATCAGTTACCCACTAAAATAACAGATAACTGTGGCCTAATTGCTCCCAATATTCTATAGTTATTTTGGCAAGTTAATCAAATATTGCCCATCAATTATTTAAAAGTGTTATATTGTGACCACTGATGATTGTTTAAACCTGATTTACCAAGTAGCTCGGAATAATTTCTTTATTTCTACTATTACCACCAGTAACACTCAAAAAGGGAAAATAGTTCTCAAGTTATTCAGGAGAAGGCATTTTTCAGAACTTCCAATCTAAAAAGCTGAAATATCTAAGCAAAAGATGATAAATTCCATTACTTCGTTCACTACTGCCTATGTTTTTGTTTAAAAAAAGTACTGCCTCTTAAACTACTCCATGATATCTTAAGACCTTCTTGAATATCAGACAAACAGCACTGCAGATTGGAGTTGCCAAGAATTGAGGAACTGGTTCTATTATGAGCGATGCATGACTGATACTGGGTGGGAGACAGAAACAAAGAACAACGTCTCTGTGCAACTATAAAAAGTTAACATCTCAGATTATTAGCCACAGCCTGCACTACAGCAAGGAGGTTAGACAATATCATTAACAGGCTATCCAGTTAGAATGGGCATTAAAGGAGAGCTTACTTTGTCCTCACCAGAGTTCATAAGGGATAGCAATCTGAAATAGGGGCACATGATTTCCCACAAAGTAAATCTAACTAGTAGAAACCAGTGCAAAATAAAACCAGCAAATGACAGAGCTGCCTGGTCCTGACAACACAGAGCTTTGTAATGTGCAGGCATTCACCAGCTAAGCTTGAACAAAGACGCTCTCCGTTTTCCTTCTTTAAATCAATTTGTGACCTTTTGATGTTGTGCTGAATATGCTTCATTAAATTACATCTTGACACCAAATGGAAGATTGCCGGGGCAGCGGGTTCAAAGTCCCATTGGTGAGAGCAGCCATTCATTTAAATTAACAGCCTGAGAGAGACACATAGGCATCTGGATCAAGTTGAACTGGAATGCTCTCCTTGTCATCTGCAGCACTCACTGACATTCACCGCGTACAAATCCCCAGTTTGGTACCAGGGCTCATTGAAATCATAGACTAATCAACTTGGAAGGGAAAAGAAAGAGACTCAGGAATAAATATCATTGCATGATGTTGCACCTTAGCAGCTAAAGCACATGCTTGCAATGCCTAAAATGCTAGCACCGTTCAAGGAAAATAAAATTAATAATCTTCAGGAAACCCGTTTTACTAAAAACTATACAACCCTGGGCTATATTGAAACCATTCACAACTTAATCATCAGCACAATTAACATTCAATGCCAATAGCAGACTGGAGATTAAGCGCTGGCAACACAAATTTGGTAAGATAATACAGTTGGTGGATTCCAAAGTTCCAGCATCATCTTAAAGTCATTCCCATTTCAGGAAGTTTTCAAATCTAATCTACTGGGCCACTATGAGTAGGAATTCAGGAAAAGTCAAGGCAATCCCCAGGAACTATTTTGGATTGTGCAATTCATCTCAGGCCTATCCAGGCACGTCAGGAATTACCTGAAAAACTGCTACCAGTACAAAGTTAACACATACCACCACCAGCAATAGTTGCCTTGATCAGCGAATCCAGCTCCTCATCACCTCGGATGGCCAACTGCAAGTGACGTGGCGTGATACGTTTTACTTTCAGGTCCTTTGATGCATTTCCTGCCAACTCCAACACCTGCAGAGTACCAAGTTAGCACAGCATTTCATAAGAATTATAGCTTCTTAAAAAAAGCGAAAAGCTTCCATGTGTCAAAATAGGAATTTCAACAGCAGATGGTGCTTTTTGTTTTGCAACTCCGGTTATGTTGCAAACGTAAAGACCAATGTGCGCTCCAGGTTTCCGGAAGATTTTAAAGAACAAAAACAGGACAAAGGAAATAAATTCAACACTTGGCACCCAACATCTTCAATCCACACATCCTTAAATTTTCTTCCTTGCTCTAAATCAAACTTAGAAACATCTGCCTTTCCACTAGCTTATTTATCCTTGTCCTCTGAAATATCCCGCTCAGCTCCATGCACATAGTCAACTCCCTCCACGGTTTCAGCAACTCGCCCTTTGACCAGTCCTTTAGTTCCCTGCCCTAGCTTTGCCATCTGCATCTAGTTACCTCAATATCTGTGGAAAGCAGATGTGATCCTGTGCACAGGTGGAATGGGCAGGGCTCACATTGAAAATGCTTCAAAGCTTCAAGAAGCTGATTACTGCAGTGATGGTCTCTTTGTACATCTCAATCCCTGCTTTATACTTCACCTCGCCAGCCTCACCATTGGTGGTCACCAAGGTCCTGCCTTCAAGCATTTCTTGCCACAGTAGTTCTGTTTTGTGCTACGCAGTGCTCGAAACCACTCAGGTGCTTTGATGCCCTGATCCTAATCAATTCCAATTATCCGTGCCCCTTAGAATAAGCTATTTGCTGCAAATCCTTCAAGTCTCCTTGTTTACGAAGATTGCCGGAGATATTAAGTGTGGAAAAAGATCAGCGTAATTTATGTTAAAGCATTTGGGGCGTTACTAACAACTGAAATACGGGTAGTTACTTTGTAACCTTGTTTTCACTGACACACAATTCTCATCCTAACCAAAGGAAAGGGCCTGGTTTTTGAAATAGGAAAGACTCCACCATTACCTACCTCAGCAGTGAGATACTCAAGAATAGCTGCACTGTACACTGCAGCTGTAGCACCCACCCGTCCATGGCTAGTGGTACGAGTCTTCAAATGCCTATGAATACGACCTACAGGAAACTAGAAGAAAGAAAGAATACAAAGTGAAAAGCCTACCATAGTCAAAAGGCACACATTAATATACAAGAAACATTTCCACTAGTAATTTTCATTGTTACCTGCGTCTTCCAGTTCAAATGAAATACATTAGACCCAGAGTTAAAATGCAGGCCAAGAGATTTGATTAAAATAAAACAGGAAGTCTTTTTTTCCTCACTTGAAAATTTCACCTCTCACTTTTCCCAACTACTTTGTCTTCAAACTCCTTGTTCCCTACGCATTTCTCCTGTCAATTATAACTGCCCTGAGGAACAGACCCACAGACGGCAATACTGTACCCTATCCAATACATTTGGACAGCTGACAAAACTCAAGTGACTTGCTCTACTATCCCTCATCTAAAGACGGGTTCCCCTCGAGCCCAACTCAAGAATACATTTCTGCAGATTGTGTAGAAAGAAAGTCAAAATCTCTTGACAAAGCTAAGGCAGCAACAGACACAGTAGGCAAGAATCAAGGAACAAGGGACCAGTTATGAAAAAAGACAAAGATGCTAGTGTTGTTCTCTTCAAAGAGTTCAAAATGAAGGGAATTTGACACAGGCCAGAGGAAGAAGGGTCTCTGTTGGCAAGAGGTTATGCAAACAGAGGCCACAGAGGTGGTGACACTGACTTATGAAGCAAGTTGCTACGATCCGGAATGAAGTTGCTACGATCCGGAATGAAGTT